TTTTTCCATGAAAATTTAATACTGCAGATATTCTGTAGATGCACGGAATGTAGATCTGAGCGTTACACACGCAGGAAGCCAAGAACCAGCCCCTCGGGAGGAAATAATGCCCCCACTGGGAAGTAGACCATAAATTAAATCCAACTAAACAGTTCAACGAAGTGATAATGAGCTACTGGTGATGGACTGTATAATAATTGAGCTACATAAATAAAGGAAATTTGACCAATGTTTACTAGGCACCTACTACAGGCAAACAAGAAGCCCAGCCACTGTGGATCCGAAAATAAAGAAGTTAAAGGTCCTGAGATCTTTTCTTATGGTATTTTCAATGCAGCCTGAAGAAAAGTCTGGGGACAGTTGAAATAAATAAACAGTAGCCCCACAAAGGATGGGGGAGAGGGGTGAGCAGATGTGTTTCATATAAGAGCAGAGAGCTGGAACCAAGGATTATGTTGGATATGTTTCTGGTGCATCAAGATGAGTTCCCTTGTGGCCAAAGAGAGGCTTGTTAACCGAAGGGCCTGCTTCAGGGCCCAGCTTGTAACTCCCTGGCCACGGGGCTCTGGGCTGGCAATACTATCTCCAATTCCAAACCTAGAAATGGGGGAGGATGATGATGCCCTCCTCTCCAGGGAGGTGCGAGGATTAAGTGAGATAATGCTTAAGCTGTCAGATGCCTGGCTCAAAGACTGCTTGCTGTTGTAATGAACATCACTCCCTGTCCATTTCAAGGAAATTGAGTGTGGTCAGATAAATGGGGCTGAAGGGTTGTACTGGTCAGCTGTCCATCACTATGATGAACTACCTGAGGAAAAATAGCTTATAAACAGAAAAGGTTTATTTTGGCTCAAAGTTTTGGAGCTTCTGGTCCAAGATCAGCAGATGCATTGCTTTGGGCCACTGGTGATTGTGCTGAATGTCCTTGTGGGGGGCATATGGCAGGGCTGATCGGTTCACCTCATCAGCTGGGAAGCCAAGGAAAGAGAGAGAGAGAGAAGAAGAAGAAGAAGAAGAAGAGACTGGGGTCCCACAACCCCCTTCAAGGACACACCCTCAGTAACCTAAAGACTCCCACCAGGCCCTGCCTCTTAAAGAACCCATTGCCTCCCAATTGCACCATCTGGGGATTAAGCCGTTAACACAGGGACTTTGGGGGTCATCCAATATCTCAAGCATAGCAGGGACAATTCTGGCCAAAGGTTTTCCAAGGATCTCAAGTGGAGTGTGACCTTCAGACGTGAAATCCAAAATAAACACAGACATCACGGGAGCCGAAGCGGCTGCCTTCCCAGTGTCCCTCCCACCCCAGCGCTTTCCTGATGCTCGGCCTGTGCTGCCTGAACTTGGATGTGCCCGGGCGGGCATCTGGGGAGCTTGCTACAAATGCAGATTTGGATTCCGCGGCCCTGGGATGGGGTCCAAGAGTCTGCGGTTCTGAGGAGCTCCCAGGAGATGCTGCTGGCTGCTGCGGATGGCGGGTGGCCCGTCAGCCTCAGAGATCCATGGGAGAAGGGTGGGCCGGTGCGGTGTGGGGGGAGGGAGTGGACAGCAGAGCCCACCTCCTGCTGCAGGAGGGTAGCTGCAGCCCACCCACCCCTTGGCTCCAGCGACGCCGTCTGAATGTGTGTCTGGAGACAGGTGCGGCCCCCACCTTCAGCTCAGGGCCTGTGAGCCCACCTGGCCCCGGGTGAGGTGGGCACAGAGGAAGAGCAGGTGCCTGGCGTTCTTAAGAAGGGGTCGCCCACAGTCTACCCGCCCTGCAGCCGGGCTCTCCTGCCAGGCTGCGGTGGGGTCCCTCCTGCAGCATCCTTGGCAGCATGCCCGAGTCCTTTCTCGCTTGCTGATGGGCACCAGGTGAGGTGGACTCAGCGTCTTATAGAACATCTGCCTAATCTCTCAGGGTTGAACACTCACCCCCACCAACCCAGCCGGCCCAGCTCCTTGCAGAAAGCAGGAGCCCGGTGACCTTCCTCTCCAGAGACGAGAGGCAGGAGATCCAACTCTAAGTCCCACTTCCAAATCCTGGTCAATTGCTTCTTCGGGGCTGTGCAACCTGGAGCCAGTTATTTGACCTCTCTGGGTTCTCAAGTGTGAAAACGAGATCATTACGAAATACCAGTGGTAGTTCTTACTCAGCATTTGTGTGCAAGGCCTTATGTTTCCCTAGGAGATCCTCCTCCGGGCTCCTCTGAGGTAGTTTTGCAGGTGAAGACATTGAGCTGGGGGAGAGTACTGTGACGCTGACCCTGCAGGTGCTCTGGGTGCTGGATGTCTTGGGTACTGAGTGCTTGGTGCACAGTAGGTCCAGGTGCTAGGTGGTCACCGTGTCTTGGTCCAGGTCTTGCTGCTCTCACTCCATCTCATCCTGCCATCCTGGGGACACACGGTGGTCACTGTCCCAGTCCCAGGCCCTCACCATCGCCCCCTGTCCACACCAGACTCCCCTTTGTCTGATGGGAAAATGGAGACCCAGACGGTATCCTGAGGAAACGGAAGGTGGATGGTAAGTTCCAAAGGGCTGTGTCCCCGCAGGGAGGTCTTAATGACCCCAACCAAGAGCCGCCACCACGCTCACAATGCTCCCAGGACAGATTAACTCTAGGCCACCACATTCCCAGGCAGAGCGCTAAATACTCAGAAAACATTATCTCATTTAATTTCAATTAACAGCCACAGACCAGGAGAAAGGTTGTAGGATTAATGGACTCCGTTGTAAGGGAGTGCACTAGCAGCTTGCAAACTCTGACACTCTTGCACATTAGAAATGCTATTGCATTTCTGCCTTTGGGCATTGGTGAGAAAAAGAAAAAAAGTCTGGGGTCAGAGTGGGAATGAAGATGATCTTTTCTACTAAAAGAGACAGGGAGGGCCTGCTCCTGTCTGAATGGTGTAGGGCTCCTAGTAATCGTGATAATGAGAACAATGTGGTTAATAATAAGGGTGACAGTGGACCCTTCTGATGAATGGCAGGGAGGGGCGGGCTCGGAAAGTGACCACTCTTCTCTCTGCCATTTCCCCTTCCCCCCTTTCCTTGCTGGTGGTGAATATGAGTGCCTACTGTGCGCCCAACACTCAGACTGGGGTGAGCCAGGGCCGGGAGTGCCGGGGTGGACTGGCCCTGGTTGGGGTCACTGTTCTCCCACGGGGAAGGACGCTGTCCTGTCAGGCACTGAACGGGGACACCCATTGACTCGAGGATCCTGTAGGAGAGTCTTCCAGCCAGATCCCCGTGCAGAGGGGAGATTTCGCAGAAGCCATCCTGCCTTGGTGCAGGGGTGACATGGTCTTTGGTTTCACTAACTCTGTCCCCAGAACTATGTCTCAGGAGGGAGGAGGAAGGGGATGCTGGGCAGCTTGGGCCCAGGGCTTCGTCTTCTCCACCCCAGAGGGTTGTTCCCGGGCCTCCTCTTTGCAGCAGGGATCAGTGGCACAGAGGTCCTGATAAAGGTGACAGCAGCAGCATGGTGACGATCAGGGTGAGGCTCTGTGGGGCTCAAGAGGGTGACACATCAGCACCGAGAGGTCACGCGCCCATCGGCACTTGGCCGGAGAGGGGGACTGGGGTCCCAAAACCAGGTCGGCATCCCTCATAACGACACCAGGGAGAGAGGCTGGCATCCTGACCTGACCTGCCGCCCGGGGCCAGGCGTCGCGAGGGGGGCTGGGAGGTGGTCACTGGGTCCGCCCGTCCTCCGGAGGCCTGAGCCCTGGGCTGCAGGCTGCCTGCCGTGCGGGAGGAGGCTTGGGAGGGTCCCTGCCCAGAGGCCAGACCGTGTCCAGGGTGGGGCCCAGGGCTCCCTGGAGACGCAGCCCCTCCCAGCGGCTGTTTGGACCCCCTTTCGGCCCCCCTGAGCCTGGGCTCTCCACCGTGGGGAGGCGGCTGCAGGTCGGGGATGCAGCCGGGGGAATGTGCATAGCTACCGAGGCTGCGGGCCAGCGCAGGTTGCCATGGAAACCGTCTCTTCCCAGACCCGCAGCCTGTGTGCCTCCCGATGCTCCCTCCGCACCCCCACCCCGCAGGGGCCCCGGGACACAGCCTCACGGGGGCGGTGCACGCAGGGCCTCCTTGGGGTGCAGACCTGCCTCCTCGCCCCTGGCCGGTGGCCCCAGGGACAAGCCCCTGCCTGGTGCCCACCCGGCCGTCCCCCGTGGCTCCCCGTGGCCTGCAGGAGCAGCGAGTCCCTCTCCTCCTCCTGCTCAGGACAGCAGAGGGCTCGGGCTGCGGGAGGACATGCAGGTGCCGATCTCGGCGATTCCCCTCCGGCCTGCGCAGCTCCGGCCATAGCTGGCCCCTGGGAGGGAAAGACCAAGGAGGAGGAGGAGGGGGAGGCCAGCTGACTCCCCTGGCAAGACACCTGGGCTTCCAGGCCCCCGAGACAGGCTGGAGCTGGATAATTGGATCTTCTTCTTCCGGGTCCCTTCCCCAAGGCCAGCAGGGGCAAATCCCCCTTCCTCCCGACAGATCCTCTCCGTGTTAGACGTCCAGCTCAGACGCCTCCTCCAGGAAGCCCTCCCAGGGGCGCTTGTGTTCTGGTCACCTTCCCTCTCCGCTGGGAGCCACCGATGTGTCCGAAGCCTGCTTCTCCGTTCCCAGTGGCCAGGGCTGAAGGCCACAGGGTGCGCAGGAAACCAGGGCGTTGGAATGCACGCTCATCCAAAGCTCCCGCTGGGTGTCCATCTTCCGGGGCTCTGTCCACGGGCCCAACGTTTGGCAAAGTTCAATGACTTTAAAATACACACAGCTTGAGTGAACGTCACCTTGCTGGGAGTTTCATAGGTTAAGTTAAAACACCAGACCAACAGAGTCTGGAAGAACTTCAACAGTCCTTTCTTTTAGTTTCCCTGTTTCTACCCACGGCCTCTACAATCTGTTCTCCCCGTGGGTCCTTATAACACATCGGCCCTGACAAGGTCATTCTGTGGCACATCCTTTCTTTTGGAGTAACCATCAAAGATGATTGCCCGGCCTCCTCTCCTCCGTCCCCTCGGTCACTCAGCCCTGGCCCATCCCAGCATGGCCCTGCCTCAGGACCTTGGCACCTGCTCTTTCAACTTTGATGCTCTTCCCCCAATTATCTGTATGGCTTGTGTCCTCCTTCATTCAGCTCTCGGTCCTCAATGTCACCTCCTCACAGAAGACGTCTCTGGTCATCCATGGCTGGAGATTCTCTTTAACCCTGCTTAGCTTTCTCTGCAGTAGCTGCCACCTCCTTACAGATGGTATTACCTTCCAGATCCTGCAGGATGTCAAGTCCTCTTCCCTGCAACCCCGGAAGGTAGGTTCCCATCCTGACCCCTGTGGGGGTGGCCTTCTGACGGAGTTGAGCCTTTGCAGATGGAGTCAGGTTAAGGGGGGCTCATTCCAGGTCCAAGGACGGGGAATCTGGGCACAGAGACAGGGAGGAAAGGCCGCGGGCGGGGTGGACAGGAGGGCCACGCCTCTCCAAGCAGGGACGCCCAGGAGAGTCCCAACTGCCAGGAGCCCCTGAGCCCAGAGGGAGCCGAGCTGGGCTGGCCGGCCCCTTGGTGTCAGGCCTGCCACCTCCAGAGGGCGGGAGGGCCATTTCCACCGGGTGGAGCTTCCCTGGCGTGTGGCTGTGACGGCAGCTCCAGGACAGCAGCACCCTGGGACGTCACTCAGAGGCTCCACCTCAGGCACCCGGACCCAGGGCAGCCGCTGTCCCTTCAGGTCTTTTTAGGTGAATGAACGGGGTCCTTTTGCAGCTCTTTACTGGTCTGTGCCTGTCCAGGGCGCACGCGGCCTCCCGGGCATCTGAGGAGGACACATTCACCCCAGGGCGTGTCCCCCGCTTCTCCTCCTCCGTCGCTGGACCACATCTCCAGGTTCTCGAGAGCTTGTGGCCCCGGTGATGGCGCATGGCCCTCGCCAACAAGCCACCAAGCTCGAGAGGTACTTGCTGTCATTGTCCCCGCCTTCCCATGAGGAAGAAAGGCTGAGAGGGGAGGGGAAGTTGTCCCAGGTCACCTGACCAGGAGGGTCCCGGCCACCCCTTACAGAAGGAGACGCACCCCACGTCTCCCGGAGATGTCAGCGGAGGAGGGGCCTCAGCCGCAGCCCTGGGAGTGTTTGCAGAGCGCCTACTGTATGCACTCACCTGCTGGTTGAGGATGGCGTGTGGCACGTACGGAGGCCGATGTGGGGCATCCTGGGCTGTGGCCCCACCCACACGCTCTCCCAGGACGTCTGAGTGCCAGCCGCAGGGAGAACCATGGGGTTGGCCAGGGGACTCTCCTTCTGAGCTTAGGGACATCCACCCGAGAAGTGCATGTCCTACCTCAGAAATCATGGGACAGTCCTTATCAACCTGTACCCAGTCCTTCCACCGGGCCCCATCACTTTTTTGGGGGGTTCCATGAATTGAACTCAGGTGCATTTAATCCCCGAGCCCCATCCCCAGCCATAAGTTTGCATTTTATTTAGAGACAGGGTCTCACTGAGTTGCTCAGGGCCTCGCTGTGGCTGAGGCTGGCTTTGAACTTTCGATCCTCCTGCCTCAGCCTCCCGAGCCCCTGGGGTGACAGGACGATATCCATTTTTTAACAACTCTTGAGGAGACTGCCAGGTGTTCCTTGCTCCCAGACACGTGTGATGTTCAAAACCCGTGACATTGATGGAGGGGGACAGGAGGCTGCAGCAGGAGGCCAGAGTTCCTCTTAAAACAAGCCAGGAGCCCGAGAGCCCAGGAGCTGTTCTGGAGGAGCCGTGGGGTGTCTGTGTTTGAACTATCAGGCAGCGCTACCACCAACTGGGTTTCCCCTCCTGCCTTTTCCCAAACAGGTGCAGGGAGCCTGGGGTGACTTAGAAAGCAGGAGCCCATGTGTGGAATCCCTGCTCATGAGCAAGACACACCGTGTCGTCATGCTGTATCCAAGGAGGCGACAATGGGTTTCTGAGGCGGCTTAGCAGGCAGGGCTGGCTCAGCAGATGTCCCAAGACAGGCGCCAAGCCCAGGGGACACGCGGATGCCTTCCTCTCCTTCATCCAGGGCTGGTCCCTCAGGGGACTGAAGGCAAAGCCGGTGGGGGCTGGACTCCGGGGGACAGAGCTGACGGCAGGTCCTGACACCCGGCTGCTGTGTCCCACTGGGCATCCCAAGGTCCCCGTTCGGTGTGGTCTCTTCCCAGCCAGGGCTGGCTCTCGATTCTGTCATCTCTTGGGTGGGGTCAGTCGTATCCCACGCACTCCACGAGGTCCCCTGCCTGGATGCTCCGTCAGCCTGTGCCCACGGTCACCCCCCATGCTGGGGCATGGACATCCCTCCAGGTGGCCCTCCCTCCTCTGTCTGGCTCTGGCCAGGTCCTTTGTGCTGGGATTGGTGGACCTGGGTGGGGGGGGTCAAGCATCACTGTTGGCGGGGGCTGTCCCAGGTCACCTGTTTCCTGTTCCCTTTCTTGGCACTGGTGACTTCCGACGCTGGATTCCAGGTTTGCTGACCACTGTGCATTGTTCTTACATGACCTCAGAAGGACAAGGATCTCTGAAAGGTCTTTCTCTTTCTGCCCGTGAGTCCCAGGTACCTAGGACAGTGCCTGGCACATAATGAGTCCTCCACAAACACTGAACCAAAGACGCACGTAGAACACTTTGATTAATGCCCACGAACACAGTAGTAGCTCAATAAACAGCAGCCTATATGGTCTTGTGTCAGTGACCTCAGTTACAGCATTGTCACATGGAATTCAATGTCCCCTGCCTGCCACGGGCATGGATGGAGTCAGTCCTTCCAGCCACCAAGCGAGGCGGGCGCCATTTGACAGAGACTCAGGGAGATGACGTGACCTGCTCACGCGCATGCATTTGACAGGAAGCAGGGGCTGATTCTGCATCACCGTGCCTGCGTCCCCAGTCCTCGTCTCGGGGCCAGCCCTGTCCACCCCTTGAATGGGTGGAGAAAGCACCCCCTGAGTGGGACTTGCCCTCCTTCAGGGAGAATCCTCCTGGGGCCGGAGCCTGTGCAAAAGGGAATCCGACACAAGAGGAGCCGGGGATGTGGGAGACGGAGGGGAAGCGTGAACAACAGTGTGGGCGCCCTGGATGGACTTCTTGTGCACCTACTGTGTGCCCAGCCCTAGGCGAGATGCAATGAGAGGGGTACTCGCAGAGATCCTCCCCTGCCTTGGCGGGAGCCAGAAGGAAAGCAGCATCCATGAACGATAAAAGAAAAAAAAATGAATTCTGCAATTTAAGGAAGGATTGCAGCTCCCAGCCCCAGTCCTGCGGTGGGCAGCTGGCCAGCATTGAGGCGGCTCCAAGGTCAAGGGGAAGAATGCGGGATTCCGAGTTCTGGGGACTTGGGTTTAAGTCTGGGATCCATTTCTCACTGCCTCAGTTTCCTCCCTAAAGGGAGGATCCTTCCCGTCCTCCACGGACTCAGTGGGTGGAACACGCCTGTGAGAGACAGGGAAAGAGGGGGCCAAACTGCTCCAAAGTCAGTCAACTAGCAAGTGCTCTTTGACACCTACTATGTGCAAACCCTAGGGCATGTGTTTGTTGGCCACCTACTGTGTACAAGACCTAGGGCTTATGTTCGTTGACCACCTACTATGTGCAAGCCCTGGTACATGTGTTCATTGACCACCTACTATGTGTAAACACTGGGGCATGTGTTCATTGACCACCTACTATGTGTAAACACTGGGGCATGTGTTCATTGACCACCTACTATGTGTAAACACTGGGACATCATTGACCACCTACTATGTGTAAACTCTGGGACATGTGTTCATTGACCACCTACTGTATGTAAACACTGGGATATGTGTTCATTGACCACCTACTATGTGTAAACATTGGGACATATGTTCATTGACCACCTACTATATGTAAACACTGGGGCATGTGTTCATTGACCACCTACTATGTGTAAATATTGAGACATATGTTCATTGACTACCTACTATGTGCAAGCCCTGGGACATGTTTATTGACCACCTACTACGTGCAAACACTAGGACATGTGCTAGGGAAGGGGGATCTAAAGTCACTCAAGGGCTCATCCCACCGCACTTACAGGAGTCCTACTGGGCTTCCTGTAGCTCCAACCCTGCAGTTTAAACTTGGTGTTGTGTTGTGTGGAGAGGCGGAGCCTCTGCAGGGTCCAGCGAGAGCTGGTTAGAACCTGGAGTCCTTCCTAGCTGCGGGGTCTCAGCCAGTGGCTCTCCCCGTCTGTGCCTTAGACTCGCCATCTGCAAGCGAAGGTGAAAACAGGCCCCGCTGTGCCAAGCTGGTGAGGACTGGGTGAGGACCGTTTCCTGCCTGGCTCACCAGTCCTGCCTGTCCCCGCCCGTCCCCAGCAGGAGGTACTATCTCGGCTGGCTGTCCCTGTCACTGCTCCTGTTGTTTCTGCACTTCTCTCTGTGGCCCCCAGGCTGCCGCCTCCCGGGGAGCAGAGCTGCCTCTTGCTCTAGCTCCGTCCATGGGGGGCGGGCGCCGTGCCTGGCCCCTCCTGGGCGCTAATGAACAGCTCTGCAGTAAATGAGGGGGAGGCTGAGTGACGCCACCTTGTCACGGGGCCATCTTGTCAACTCTCAGCACCTTCCAGATGGAGCATGTTTTCCTTTTTAGCCCTTCCCCGTCCTCCTGGGTCTCTTCTCTTGAGTTTGCTCCACAGCAGCGCACAGTAGGTGCTTGTGAGGTACCAGCTGGTGCGCTAGTCATCCTGTCCAGGGTGCGACCGTGACAGTACGCATGAGGCCCAGAGCCAGCCCCAGCCCTGCACCTCTCCTGCCCCGACCCCCTCCCTGCCTCCGTCCCTGATGACGGGGACACAGACGGCCCCAGCCCCTGCTCTGGCCACCCCTGTCCTAGAGTCAGGAACGCCCCTCCTCCTCCTCCTCCTCCGGAGCCCTTCCAAGCTCGGGCCTGCTGCAGGAGAAGGAATATTCTGGCTGATTTTCAGCTTCCAGATTGATTGGGGACAGCGGGACGCACCTCCCTCCACCAATCATCCAGGGCAGCCGGCTGTGACGAGCACACTCAGCAGCCGGCGTGGGAAATGGTGGCCGGCGCTCGCTCTGCCCATTAGGAAAAAGCCCAGATCCTGCCTCTCCAGGGTCCTGGGCGAGGGCTGGGTGGGCGGGCGCCAGATGGGGCCGCCTTAGCAGCTGTCAGTGGTCCATCAGTGACAGTCCCCGTCCTCCTGGGCATGGCGCGCTGTGCTGCATCAGCCAAGTGATAAATCATCCCGGTCCCTCATTTTCTCAATCAAATACCCAGAGTGACGCTGTGTGGTGTTTACTTTGTAACCAGCGCGTGACACACGTGAACTCCTGCCGACAAGGCCACCCGGGGCCACCTGGGAGGCACCTCTGGAACACACGTGAACCATGGGAGGCCCAGAGAGGTGGAGACACTTGCTCAGGGTCACCCAGCTCTTTAGGGGCTCCGATTCCCTCTCCAACTTTAGACTCTTTCATGCAGATATTTATGGAGAGTCTCCTACCTGGTAAGCGTCACCCCGGAATCTGAGGATGAGGGACCAAATGCCGGCTCCCCGCCCCCTTTGAGAAGTTGCGGGAGGCAGACTTGAAACAGTGGCTGAGGTTCACTGGGGAGCACTTCGAGGCCCCTCAGGGCTAAGGGCCTTCACCGCAATGACCCCGTTGGAGTCTCATGATGGCAGTGTGAGGCGGGAACTTGGTTGTCATGGACACTGGGGAAACCGAGGCTCAGGGAGCTGCGTCATGGCGTAAGGGGCCGAGTCTGGATATGAACCAGGTCCCACTACCTCCAGGGACCTCGGCCTCTGATCTGGCCTGAGGGTCAGTGGCCACTCACCAGGAGCAGAGGCTGGGTGGGGGGGGTGAAGAGGAGCTGAGAAGGGGCTGATAGAAGGTTCTGGAAGTGCGGGGGCCTACAAGCCTGGGGGGCTGCGTGCACAGACAGAAGGCAGGGGGGGAGCTGGTGGGGTCCACGCCACCCTGGGCCCCAGAGGTGCGTTTAGGGTGCCCTGAGCCAGGGTGCGGGACTCGAGGCTGGGACACCCTGGGCTGTGGGTGGGCAGATCTGGCCTCCGTCTGATCCCCGGCCAGGCCTTGGACACCTCGGCCTCTCGCCCACCTGGCCACCCCTTTCAAGGTCAGCAGGCGTGTGCCCTTGGGCCCTTCCCGGGCGCTCGAGTGGAGGGGCCCTCGGGGAGCCCATGTCACCCGGGGAGTGAGTCAAGTCACGTTCCTGTCTCCACATGGCGTCTGTCGGCCTTCCCTGGCGGGTCCACCAAGCACACCTGTCCCCGAAATAAAGAATGGGACGCGGTCCACTCCGGGGAGCCCCGACAGGCCGAGCCGCTGTGGGAGCTGACCCTGCGCAGGCCCGTGACACCCCAGCGATGCCCAGCTGTCCTCTCGGTCAGGACCTGGGGGCCCACGCACGGCAGTCCCGGCTCCCTGCAGGGGACACCCAGCCGGCCTGCAAACCACGCCCCGTCACAGGGGCTCGGGGACAGGTTTCATGGCACAGGAGGATACCAGGCCCCCCATGCTGCCCTGCAGGGCCACTGTGGCCGGGAAAGAGGGCCAGGAGGAGGCCGGGGGACAGCAGAGGGAGGAGCCTCGGGGAGGGGCAGAGTCGTCCTGCAGGGCAGAGCCCAGGCAGGGCCAACGCCAGGGGGCCTCAGGTCCCCAGAGCCCCTTCCAGGCCTCTCAGCCAACGGATAGGGCAGCTTTCGGTGGCTTCTCTGCCAGCCGCAATCAGAGTTCTTCTCATTTCATTGAATCACTTTCTTGCTTCTCTGTTTGAATGTCCCACGCCTCTCTGTGGCCCTCAGGGTGGAGTGACACGCCAGCCCCACCCCCCGGGAGCCTCCAGCTCTGGCCCTGGGCAGACCTGAGCTCCAGGTGTGCAGAACTGCTGCAGCCCACGCCCAGCAGGGCCAGGCGGCCCACCCTGGTGGCCTTCGTTCCGACTCCTATCCCCTGGCTCATGTCTGTGTCTCCTCCTCCAGGAAGCCCGCCAGGACTGCGGCCCCTCTCTCAGCTGCTGCCACCCACGAGCCTCAGGGCCTGTCAGCTCTCTCCTGTCTCTCTGCGTCCCTGGCCCCACGACTCCTTGGGGGCAGCAGCCGTGGCTGCATCATCCACGTCACTGAGTGTCTAGCGCCCCGCGCCTGGCCAGGGGTTCGAATCCCGCACAACCTTGTGGAACACGTGAATGAAGAGTGGACGAAGACACGAGGTTCTGCACCGTGGCTTCCAACCAAGGACAGGGAGACTTGCCAGTGTTCAGGGACACTTCTGTGGGCCACAGCTCAGGATGGGGGAAGTGGTCCTGGGAGAAGAGGCCGGGCAGTATCAGCTGTCCCACAATGCACAGGTGTGTCCCCATGGTCCATCCGCCTCCACCCAGGAATCCCTCAACCCCAGAGGGGTGGGGGGGGGAAGGGCATGAGCCCCTCCCCCAGCAGGTGTGCCCGCTGGTGAGACGTACAGGGTAACGCCCGAGGAGACCCCAGGAGACAGGGCGGGGGTGCTCACTGGTGTCCCCACTGTCACCCAGGTGGACTCCTACTCAGCCTTCAAAACCCATCCCAGCACCACCCCCTCCAGGTCGCCTTCCTGATGTCCCCCAGGCTCAGCGGCCACTGCTCCACTGTCCTGTAATTATCTCTGAATGGGACCGCCCCCGCTCCGATCTGAGGACAGGGGCTGTGTCCTATTTGTCACGATTTCTTGAGTCCTTAGAAACAGGCCCCCTGTGGCCTTGCAGCCTGCAGCCCGGGCGCCCCCTCCTGGCTCCTGGGAGCACCGTGTCAGGGGCAGCTCCGCGAGACGCCGGCCCTGGGGACAGCCAACCCGTGTGACCTCCCACGGAGGAGGAGGACAGCCCGTTCCGACCATCCGGACTTTGTCATTGACTTGGCTGCCAAGCCCGAGAGCAAGGCGTCCTCTCAATGAGCACGTCGACTCCGCGAGCTATAAATTAAAAAGGAAAAAAAAAAAAGGATCTGCTAATTCCAACCCACTCTATTTTTTCCTCCCAGCTGCTCGGGAGGGCGGCACTGTGACTCTCGGAGGGAACATTTCTCTGGCGCCAGCTCCCCTTTCCCTGCCGCCCGTCATTCCCTCCTCCGGGGTCCAGCCTGGTGCCACACGGCTTTGGGCTCACACAGACCTGGGTTCAAATCCTGGCACTGTTACTTCTTGTCTCTCTGAGCCTCCGCATCTGCCCCCGTGAGACCCCAACGTGGGGAGGCGCGGGGTCCTGGGGATGTGAGGTCCTCCCAGGTGTCTGCAGGAGGGTCACGGAAGCTGCCCTGAAGGGTGCCTGTCCCCAAGGGAAACAGCTTCCGATTCTTGACAAGGGGATTCCCATCCCCGCCCCTTTCCCTGAGGTTCCCTTTCTATCTTCTGAGAATATGGACGTGCTAATCCACCAAGAGGAGAGCTTCACACGTACCTAGTCACACAACTGCCCCCTGCACACAGGAGGAGACTGAGGCCACCGAGGGGCGGGGACCTCAGGTGGGCCTCACAGAGCGGGATGCAGAGGCGCCAGCCCTCCCCACCTCATCCGCGGCTCTGTGTGTTCTTGCAAAGAGTAACAATGGCATCTGCCACTTCTTACGAGCGTCCTCCTGGGCCAGCTGCTGAATTATCCTGACATCTTCTCAGGAAAAAAAACCCATAGAAGGAAAACTGGGTCCGTTGAACCTCATTAAAAGGAGAACTTCGGCTCTTTGAAGATCCCGTTAAGAAAACGGAAAGACGAGCCCCAGGGTGGGAACGGCCTTTGCAGACCTCCTATCTGGTGACACCGGTCACCACCAATGGACCACGCCCAAGACCAGTGACACGACACGCCACCTCCCGGAGCACCCAAGACTAAAGGGACTAAAGGGACCCGGCGCTCAAAGGATGGGTGGTCGTCCCACAGGCCATGAGATGCGCTCAGCCTCGCGGGGGGTCAGGGAGACACCCCAGAGCGCCCCCACAGCTGGGGTGCAGGTGGGAGCTGGGCTGCAGGAAGATGGGGTTCCCACTCCCCCGGGGCGGGGGGCGACTGCCTTGGCAAAGGATTGGGACGGTCCTTATAAAGTCACTCTGCGTGTGCTGAGACTCCACTCCTGGGTGTCACCTAAAAGGAACAGAAATGACCACTCGAAGCCTGAGCAGGACCGGTCACAGCAGCTGCCCATGACAAACAGCAGGACGGGTCCAGTGTCCATCCGGGCACAAGGAGGTCCCCTTCAGGGCACATTCCCAAGACGGGTCAGTGCTCATCCATCAAACCGGAGGGACTGTCCACACCCACAAGGACACAGAGGAGCCTCTAAGAACACACAGAGCCAAAGAAGCAGACCCCAAACAAGGACGTCCCACCTGATTCAGTCCCTATGGAGCCCTAGAAAATGCGAACCATGTGGAGGGACAATAGGCAGATTTGCAGAGGCCTGGGGTGGGGCAGGGAGGGAAGGCTGGACGGGGAGTCACTGGGGGGCAGCTTCGAGGGTGACGGACACCTCCATTATCTTGACTGTGGGGGTGGCTTTGTGGCTGTATATATCCACATATGTACCCATAATAGAGATCCATAGACGTATATTGAAATGTCTCGTCCTGGACGAGTCCAACATAGAGTTTATTAAAAGATATTTTTTTAAAAAAAGGCTGTTAAAAATACGTGGTGAATGCTGTAACCCTTTCCCTTCTACTTTTCAGAAGTTTAGCCCCAGAGAGGTTAGGTCACTTGTTCAGGGTCACCCAGCAAGGAAGAGGGCAGAAGAGAAGAGAGGGAGAGAGACAGTCACCAGCATCAGGGGCCACAGGGTGGTCAGCTCCTGACACTCTCTGACCCTGACCCCTCGAAGCTGTCCTCCCCTTGGCAGGGACTGAGGCCACGGGTCCACTCTTTCCTGTGCCAGTGAACTGGGAAGCCCAGCTGCCCGGGGCCTGGACTCCCTGGTGACCCGTGGCATCCTTCAAGCTTCCCACAGCACCCACCCCACATGCCTCACCTGGTGACCAGCGTCCAGTGCCCTGTCCTCTGTCCTCCTCGTCTGTCTCCCCGCCTCCCTGCCCTCTTCAGGACTGCACCCCTGTCTTTCCGTGGGTCGTCCTAGGCTGCAGCGGGCACCTGCCTGAGGTCTTGGGAGGAGCTTCCCCTCACTCCTGGATTCAGACACCCCCATCTGCACCCGTCGGGGGTTCCCCAGAGGTGTCAGGTCACTGACCCATGCCCCCGACCCTTGTCCTTCGGCTGCTCTAAGATCAAACTCCTACAATGGAACACAGCCCCATGGGGACTGGCCCCTCTGGGCGCCCAGCCTGGTCCCGGGCACTCCTGACTCCATAAGGGGCCACGCCCAGCTCAGGGCCACGCCCAGCTCGGGGCCACGCCCAGCTCAGGACCACGCCCAGCTCAGGACCACGCCCAGCTCGGGGCCACGGTCCCCTTGCTGATGTGTGCCGTCTCTGTTCTGTTTAGGTCGGAGTCTGGTATTACTAAGTGCTCAGTAAACACAGCCAACACTCCGCATGACGTCATTTTGGTCACCCGTGGGCTGCATCTACGTCCGTGATCCGGTTAAGACTCCACAGCCGAGTGACGTCATAGCCCCTTTTCTATGAACACTCAGTGATGTTGGCAGCATCACAGAAAGCCTCCTAATGACACATTTTTCAGAGAGCATCCCTGTCATTAAGTGATGCGTGACCACGAATGTAGAATGAGGGAGTAGTTGTCCCATCCGCACATTCACCCTGAGCTTGGAGAATCAGGGAATGGAAAGAAGCTGTGTGGTCTTGGCTCAAGTGCTTGACTTCTCTGAGCTTTAAGTTCCAAATTGATGAAAGGGGCACACCAAACGCCCCTTCCCCCTTGGTGTTGGGGGCTTGCAGTGCTGTGAATACAGTCCTTCCTTGTGTGTGAAGGAGGGGAATGAGGACCGGGGAACCCACCCCAGGGTCCTTCTTGGTTCCCAGCTCCATCAACATCCGCCTTTCAGCTGCTGGGAGGAGCAGAGCCGGGAGAATCCCCTCACCTGCGGGCGGTGGGCGGCTCCAGTCTGCCAGAGACAACAGGCCAGAGCCGGGACTCTCCAGACAATGTCTAATTTGTATTCACCACACAACGCAGAAGGACACCGCATCTCTAAAGAGGGAACAATCGGAGATTAGGGACGATTGCCGGGAGAGGAAACCTTGTTTAAATCTATTACTGAACAAAAACGGGCTGCCAGCGCTGAATGGAAAATTTGTGCTTCTCCCTGGGTCTGCGCCCGCGGCGGCGCGCTGGGCGGAGCCGTGTTCCCAAAGACCCTGCTTCAGGCACCGCGCTCCAAAGCCGCGCAGCACCCTGATGCAGACGCTAAGATCACCCCCGGTTTACAGAGGAGGAGACTGAGGTTCAGAGGGGCCCCGTAGCCTGGGCCAGGTCCCATGGTTAGGGAAGGTGAGGCTGCCTGTTTCTGGTCCCTAAGCTGGTCCCTGCCTATGCGCAGGTGTGCGCCTGTGTACGTGCATGTGACTTAGTGCTTTTGAGGGCAGGCGGGACCACAGAGGTCAGCTCCTATGGCCATGTCCTTTCATAGATGGGGAAACTGAGGCTCGGTGGGAGGAAGGAATTCTCCTGGTACTCCCACTCATTGAACCCAGGAGAGACTCGGAATCATAATTAAATGAGCGCATACTAGGTGCCAGGCGTTGTCTGTCTTCCCAGCCTCTCTGTGGGTACACGGCACTGGAAGGCTGCAGGTGGCTGGGGGAGACTGAGTCCCCGGTGTGGCTGAGTCACTGCTCAGGGTGCTGGGGCGAGTGTGCCAGAGCCGGGACTGGAACCCAGACTGGCCACGGTGTGTTCTTTGGGGACAGGAGGACAAATCTGCTTCCCGGGGTCTTCCTTCTCCCTGGCGCTCACTTGGGTTGGAATTTGGATTCCCGAACTTGGCCCTGGGGATTCTGCATCCTGGGGGGTGGATGAGGGAGTTCAAGGCGGTTTCTGCGTCCACTGAGGCAGAGAGCCCAGGGGCCGGGCAGGGCGGGCGGTGGACACCCGTCTGGTGGCTTTTGACCGACAGCCATCCGCTTGGAGTCAGCTCTGAAGGGGAGTGACCACCCCTCTGGGCAGCAAGTCCACCCTCTGGGGCCATTCTTCCCTGGAGCAGACCTTCAGGGCACAGTGGCCACGGGTCTGCCTGTCGTTGGTTCCCTGGGAGACGGAAGCTCAGCTTAGGCTTGCGGTGTGGGCCTGGCCCGCCGTGACTCCGTGTCTCCGTCACCCTGGGTCTGGGGAGCTGGGCTGGCACGCTGCTCCTTCCAGGGGACTCTGGAGCCAGGGCCAGGGCTCGGCTGGGCTCTGACAGGCAGAAGTCTTCATGGCAGCCAGGAGATCCGTCCAGGGCTCCCGCCACTGCGCCCTGCAGAGTCCTGCCATCCAGGACGCCCTGCGCACCCAGAACCGCTGCAGGGGCACAGAGTGGGGGCTTAATGTCACAAGTGCGTCAGGGCCTGGCTCGCTCGGGGGACACTGTGGAGCCCACCGCACCCCTCCCTCCTGTGGATCAGCACCTGCTCCGGTCCCCTGCGGCCACCGTAGGTGTGGATGACAGCTTCTGGGCTCCGTGGTGGCTCTCAGTCCCGGCACCAAGTGTGACTCACCTGCAGGAACTGTCGGAAGACCATCTGTTGCCGTTCTCACTCCCAGAAAGGCTGCTCTGGGGTGAGGTCCACGCTTTAGTGTCTTCTAGAAGCTTCTACATGAGGCTGCACTGCAGCCCTAGGTAAGGACCTCTGGGGGGGCAGAGGAGAAGGACTCTCCAGGAGCACCTCGTCAGACCACATATGGCTTCTTTCCCGATGGCTGCCAGGTCTCCATCTCTTCTCTGAGCATCAGTCTCTCCACTAGGATGGTCCCTGCTCCCCACGCTACTGGAATCATTAAAGGAGACGACCAGAGAGCACTCGGCTCAGAGTGGGTCCCCAGATAGCCGCGGCTGCCATGGA